TTGGTCAACTCATCTTCAACAAAGGAGGCAAGAATATACAATGGAATAAAGACAGTCTCTTCAGCAAATGGTGTTGGGAATACTGGACAGCAGCATGTAAAACAATGAAGCTAGAACACATCCTTACACCATATACAAAAATCAACTCAAAATGGATTAAAGACTTAAACATAAGAGAAGATAAAATAATCCTCCTTGAGGAAAACATAGGCAAAACATTATCTGACATACATTTCAAAAATTTTCTCCTAGAAGAAATAAAACAAGAATAAACAAATGGGACCTAATTAAACTTACAAACTTCTGCAGAGCAAAGGAAACCAGAAATAAAACAAAAAGAAAACCTACGGAATGGGAGAAAATTTTTGCAAGTGAAACTGACAAATGCTTGATCTCCAAAATATATAAGCAGCACATACGACTTAATAAGAAAAAAATAAACTACCCAATCCAAAAATGGGCAGAAGACCTAAACAAGCAACTCTCCAAGGAAGTCATACAAATGATCAAAAAGCACATGAATATACACAAAATGCTATGATAAATCACAGAAAAAAAAGTGACAATGTGTGTATATATGTCCATGAATAACTGAAAAATTGTGCTGAACAATGGAATTTGACACAACACTGTAAAATGATTATGAATCAATAAAAATGTAAAAACAAAGCACATGAGAAAATGTTCAATATCACTAATTATCAGAGAAATGCAAATCAAAACTACAATGAGGTAACACCTCACACCAGTCAGAATGGCCGTCATTCAAAAAGCCACAAATGACAAATGCTGGAGAGGCTGTGGAGAAAGGGGAACCCTCCTACACTGCTGGTGGGAATGCAGTTTGGTGCAGCCACTATGGAAAACAGTGTGGAGATTCCTCAAAAGACTAGGAATAGACTTACCATATGACCCAGGAATCCCACTTCTGGGATTGTACCCAGAAGGAACCCTACTTCAGGATGACACCTGCACCCCAATGTTCATAGCAGCACTATTTACAATAGCCAAAACAAGGAAACAACCTAAATGTCCATCAACAGGTGACTGGATAAAGAAGAAGTGGTATATTTATACAATGGAATACTCCTCAGCCATAAAAACCAACAACATAATGCCATTTGCAGCAACATGGATGCTCCTAGAGAATGTCATTCTAAGTGAAGTAAGCCAGAAAGAGAAAGAAAACTACCATATGAGATCGCTCATATGTGGAATCTAAAAAACAAAAACAAACAAACAAACAAAAACAAAGCATAAATACAGGACAGAAATAGACTCATGGACAGAGAATACAGACTTGTGGTTACCGGGGGGGGTAGAGGGTGGGAAGGGATAGACTGGGATTTCAAAATTGTAGAATAGATAAACAAGATTACACTGTATAGCACAGGGAAATATACACAAAGTGTTATGATAATTCACAGAGAAAAAAATGTGACTATGAGTGTGTATATATCCATGAATGACTGAAAAATTGTGCTGAACACTGGAAGTTGACACAACACTGTAGAATGATTATGAATCAATAAAAAATAGTAAAAAAAGAAAACAAACTGAC